GTGCGTGTGGGGGCCCGGGTGTGTGTGCGTGTGGGGGCCCGGGTGTGCGAGGGCACTGGGAGGGAGTCTGACCCGGAGGGATCGCGGTGCTGGGGTGAGACTGGGGACAGTGGAGGGCTGGTCGCAGGCCCGCGGTGGGTTACCTTATAAACATTGTGCTTCTCACTGAGAGTGTCGAAGACGATGTAGATCTCGTCCAACATGTCTACCACCTGCATCGGCGTGATGTGGATACAAATCTCATTAAACTTCACCACGTCGCTGAACAGGATGGTCACGTCTGGGAAAACCTGCCGGGGGGGCCGAGGACAGACACACACATCACTCACCGCTGGGCTAGAACCAGGCCATTCAGCCCTTCAACAGTCAACGGCTGCTCTCATCACCCTCAACTCCCTCCGTCGTGTCTTTTCCCCCCTCGGTCCCCCTTTAAAGCTCTGTCTCAGCCTTCAACACCCTTCATGACCCAGCCTCGAGAGCGGGAAAGAATTCCCCGGATTCCCCTCGCCTCGGAGGGAGAAGGAATTCCTCGCCATCTCTGTCTTCAACGGGGGACCCCCTTACTCGGAGATGATGCCCCCTCTGATCCTAGACTCTCCCCCACACAAGGGGGGGGAGAGCACACTGCCCTCATCTCCCCTGTTCATATCTCCCTAAGAATCTTCAATAAAGTCCTCTCTAATTCTTCTAAACTCCAGGCCCCAACCTACTCAACCCATTCCCTCATCCGACAGTCCCTCTGTACCCGGGATCAGCCGAGTGAACGTTCCCCGGACTATCTCTGCTTGGATACGGGGCCCCAAAACCATCTGCAGTATCCCAGCTGCAGCTTGACTGGATCCTGGTGTGGTTTCAGCAAAACCTCCCAACTTTTCTCCCCGCTCCCCCTCCATTCCCTTCAAAACAGAGGCCAGCTTCCCGTTGGCACTGCCTGAGCAAGCGCCAGATGCCCGCTGAGGTGGGCGATTCTTCCAAATCCCCGCGTCCCGTAGCTTTCCACAGTCCTGCACCGTTTGAGCTCCTCTGTTCGCCCTGCCAAAGTTCACCTCCCCCACCCACAACTGCAGGTCATTGTGAAAATGCCACCCTTGCCCTCCCTGCGAGGAGACGGGCCGAGGGTAACGGACCTTGTCCTTGGAATTGAGGACCACGGCCTGGTTGTGGGGCACACGGACCACATGGTGCTCGAAGCCAGACGTCGGGAGCCAGACGCGAGACGGGAGCTTGTGGTTGAGCAGCGACAGCTCGGAGATGAGCCGCTGGGTCTTCTGCTCCTTGGTGGGTAAGGTCACCAGCCTCTTGCCAATGGCCATCAACGACTTGATGAACTCCCGCTCCGGGCCCAGCCTGGCAGGTTGCTGAGGAGACACAAGAGGGAAGGGGGAGGGAGGGGGAAGGTCACGGTGAGGGGAAAATATTTTTAAAAAAAAATTCCTGGCTCGGAGAGAGTTCATTCTCCCGGTGGGAGAGCACGCGGATGGAGTTGGCAGATCTGTCGGCCACCATCCCTATCCCATGAGGCTTTGACAGGTCCGCTCCCTCCTTACCACGTCCCGAAGGCCCAGGATGTAACTGAATCGAACGTTAATCCCGACCCGCGCCCACACAACTTCTAAACACCGCTAGACAGCGACTTGTTGGGGAATGGACGATCAGTCAGGCCTGTATGGCG